CCCCAAAACCCCAAAACCCCAAAACCCCAAAACCCCAAAACCCCAAAACCCCATTTAGTCCAAAAAGAATTGAATCTTGTAAAACACCTTAGGAAGAGATTCTAACTACCAGTTTGGGGTCCAACTAGATTGATATAGGACAATGAAGTCGTTCAGGGTTTTTATGGCAAAATCTACCCCTTCTTGATTGTAGGTCTTATTAGCAGCTAACTGATGCCAAGGAGACTACACCTAGGTGTCAAGCTTTTGAACCACAGCTTCTTTTCTTAGGGATTTTTATGGAAGTTATTTCTTAGAGCTCGCTCTTGAGCTTTTTAATGATCTCATATTAGAGCCAACTAGTGTTTTCTTAAACCTTTTTACTTTATGCTGATTTATATCTTTCTTTAGACTTCCTGAAAATCCTCATTGCTTCTTCAGATCAAGTTTGATATCTTTATTAAGGTGATATCTGGGTGTATGACTGCTAAAAGTCTGTCAACCAGGACTCATAAATTCAGATCCAGGCTTTTGTAAGTTCTTAATAGACTTCTTCCTAGCTATGGGACAATGAGTCTGCTTGGCTGTAAATTTCCTATTTCAGTTATAATTCGGGGAATATTTCAGGTCCTTCATTGGCTTAATAGTTTTGTTCTTTAAGATACCCTTTATTTTCGGTTCCTTTGAAGACTTCACTTTACTCTTATCATCAAGATAATTAGGGGATGGCCTACAGGATTTACTGGAGACAAGATTCAATGGAGATTTCGATCGGTTATTGCTCCTGCTAACGCTAGATTTCCTACTCTTAAAACTTCTGTTTGAATAAGCCTTGCTCCTATTAGATCTATCAGAATGCTTTGATTTAGTAGAGCCATAAGTCCTCAGAGCATTCAAGTCTTTCCTGACATCATTGATTTCATCATTATAAAGTGACCGTAGGTAAATCCTGACCTTTTCTCTCCTCTTCTTGGTCTCATCGATTTTACCTCTAGCAGATTTCGGATTTTTAACTGTTTTTGAATAAAATAGACAGCTAGAAGTTCTTCTTGATAATTTCATTGGACTTTTGTCTGACTCAATGCTGCTTTTCCTATTTTTGTTAGTCAATACAGTACCTTTTAACAGATTTTGTAGCTTTATTTGGAACTTTTGTGACACTTTTTCTTCACTGACCTCTTATCCTCATGAGTCGAGTAGATCTTCCTGTGGCTAGAAGTGGCACTTCCTTTCGTAAAATCTAATCGAGAGGGGCCAAAACTGGTGTAGTCAGAATTTTTATACGTATTGATCGTCCTTGGTGTTTTCAGATTAGTTGCATCTGTTTCTTTTCAACTATTGATGCGCAGGTCTAGAGTCTTCCTCATCCCGATTCCATTATTCGAAGTCCTTGGGCACACATTCCTCTTAAAGGATTTTTGGATCTTTGGTGATATCTTTCTTTTCCTATACAATGTGGTTAGGCTTAACTATGCTAAAGGAGATTACCTGTTTGATTTCCTAATAGATTTCCTCCTTGATGATAAAGTGTCTTCCATTCAGTTATCTGGGTCAATATTCTCAGTATTTTTCTCGACCTTTTTAACCCTCGATAGCATTTTAATTGAAGATTTTCGTCTATGAAGGCTAATCTTCTTGTTAGAAGGTCAAATAGACTGCTTTGGTCTATTCTTGATGTCTTTCAAAGCTGCAGAGGATTTCTTACCCATATCTTCGTATTCAAAGACACCTCGGGAAGCCGATCTCTGCTTCGTTATATATTTCTTGTACTTCTCTTTTGTCGGATTTGGTAGAATTTTTGGGTCGTCAACTGAAGGATGCTCTGCAATCTCAGTATTTTCAAAATCTTGGCTCTGTTTGGGTAAATTCTTGCTTTTGCCTGTAACTTTATTTGGCAAGACAAGGTTGCTGGTACTTTTTGAAGACTTTATTAACTTTAGCCTTTGGTCAATTTTGTTGAGCAGATTATTGGTTTTACTCATATCCTGGACTCTCTTGTTACTATTTTTCACAGCATTGGAAGGATTTGGATTATTTTGTGTGTAATCAATAATAGAATGGATTGAGCCATCACTCTCATTTTCAGCCAGCATGTCGAGAATCTGAGGTAAATTATCTCCTTTGTCTCAATTAAGCAACTTTGGGAAAAAGTTTGCTGTCTTAGAATCTTGCTGCATTGAGGAATTGCTCTCAAAATCGAGAAGCTGACTAGTTTGGCTATAACTCTCTTCATGAGCTGGGTCAATACAAATTGGATCTTTCTCAAGCTCTCTCATAAATTTGCTGTTCAGCAGTGTAGAATTATTGAATCCTTTAGGGAAATTTCAATCAAGCATATCCAACCTTTTACGTTCCTTTATCATAAGGAGATCGTCATGCTTATCATTTAGCATTTTTATTGCTTCCTTATGATATTCTTATACACGTATCTCCTCTCATCCAGATTAATATAGTTGGGGAATACAGTGCAGTACTTGTTGTAGTACTCTGTAAGGTTGCTGATCTTACCCTTGCACTCTTCAGTGGTGTAATACCTTCTCATGAAGTCATTCATATCATCTTGAAGGAGGTAATCTTTGAAAATAGCCACAATTCTGGTAGTCTCATTTCCGATAATATCATTTACCACCTTTCAATTGTAAGCGTCCATTGAAGTTGCATACTTCTGGGTTAATATCTGTTGACAAGAAAGTGGCTTATGAGTTGTCAGGGAGAGATCCTCAACTACTGATGCAGAGCTTGCCCACTCTATGAGGGACATATCCGTACTAGAATTAAACTTAAAACTTACTGAGAAGTATTAATAATGTTCCTCTTCAATTTCTGTTTAAGGTTTTCTCATAAGCTCTCTTGCTCACTATTTTCTGGAGAAATTATTGAATTTCTCGGAAATTCACGGAAGACATCCGAGGATTGGTCGTCATCGCTTGATTCTACTCTCTTTGTAGACTTTTTAGTGAGATATTCTTTCATATTTTTCCTATTGTTCCTCTTGCTCATGATGATTTTAGAAATATTTATATTTAACGGAAATCAGTTTACTTTTGAAAACCTGGGGTTTTGGGGTTTTGGGGTTTTGGGGTTTTGGGG